TAAACAAAAATTCATTCATTTTTTCTGTGTAAAAAATTATTCATAATTCCTTTAGAAATGCAATTATCCTTTTTGAAAAAATCCTAAATTTTTCCATCACCCTTTCCTTTAAAAAAGATGAAAATGTCAACCTAATAAAAGCTAGTCATTCAAGCATAAACCCAGATCATTTCAAGCTGACAACCCAAGAATGTTTCATTTTTTAGGCTCAAGAATTAATTGAACCAATCTCTTCTCCATAGTCATGTGAAACATTTTATGTCAATAAACGTTCAGAATAAGTTCGTGAAAAATTAAAATTGGTGATTAATTACAAATCTCTTAACATTTTCCTTGCAGATGACAAGTTTTTCCTTCAAGATAGAAAACTTTGTTTGCAAATTTATCAAATGCAAAAGTCTTCTTAAAGTTTCACTTGAAAACAGGATTCTGGCAATTAGGTATACATCCATAAGATAGATTCAAAACGGTGTTTTGCATCCCTCAACACCATTTTCAGTGGACAGTTATACCTTTTGGATTAAAAATTTCTCCTTCACTATTTCAAAAAGCAATGACAAAGATATTTACTTCTATTCTTGATAATGCATTGATTTACATTGATAATATCTTACTATTCTTCTCAGATGTCATATCTGATACACATTTATTGGATAAGTTTTAGCAGATTGTTCAATAGTATAGTTGGTTCAGTGCACCTCTTATTAGAAAAAAAGCCAATCCAGATATGAGTTTAGAGCATAGGAAGTAGTGCATTCCGAAACAAGCGAAGTAGAGACCTCTCTCTTTATCCCTGTCAACCTGCACTATTGATTGCTATGAAGGAATTCTCCTTTCAATAGGCTCAAGGAAGATGAATAATGGAATATAGACAATTCGATAGGAAGATGGAGAGAAAATCTTTCATGAGAGAGGGACGAGAAAACCCGTATTCCTATGATTTAAACAAGAGGTGATGCGTACAAAACTGACATAGATGACATAGAAAGACATATAGCATTTTCAGAATTGTTAATTGAAAAAAAGTACCCGTAGAGTCGCTCTTGGGTTGGATGGAGGAAAGTAGGTCTTTAGTGGCCTTCGTTCGTTGTACCCTAGTTCTTTATAACCAGCACCACCTATCCTACAGAGGGTACTAAACCTTCTGAAAGGGTATGCCATATGGATTCCCATTATCCCATAGGGGTGATAGAAGTTACAGAGATTTCGGAGTGATACAGGAGATAAATCAACTGTACCATTCAACACTTTGAATGGGATAATGCTTTCAGAGAAAAAGATGATCATTGGTGACTCAAAAATTGATTTCTTAGGCATGCATTTGAAATATGGTCAGTACATAGCTCAACCTTACATTACTAAAACATTTGCAGATTTTCTAATGAAAATCTTTTCAAGAAGCAAGTACAATAATTCTTCGATGTAATCAAATTACATTAGTGAATTCCTCTCATATTTTATACAGTTAACTCATTCTTTTAGACAGATGTTAAAGAAAAAATCTCTCAAGTAGTCCCAGAAGTAGACAAAAGTAGTACAGACATTGAAAATAAAAGCGCAATCACTTCTTACTTTAAAGATTCTTTCAGATAGAAAAAAAGATACTGTAGACAAATATAAGTGAACAATTTTGGTAAGCAATCCTTTTAGAAGAAAAAGATGGAACCAGACAGATATATTATTATAAAAGTGGTAGATTCAAAGATTCAAAACTTTATTATCACTCTGCATTAAAAAAAAATTTAGCTGTAAAGTATGAAATCAAAATATTTGAATTTTACCTCATTGAATATCATTTTTTTGTGGAATTGGATACGTTAACCTTCAATCAAATGCTTAATTTTAAGAAGAAACAGATGTCAAATGCATAGTTACTCAAACTTTCTCAATGGTTCTTACGATACTCATTCACCAGCATATATAAAAAACAGGGATAACATCCTCCCAGATATGCTTACTAGACCTCTTCTAAAATCTCGTTCAAACTCCCTGCAGATTATTTCAGTAGGTAGATGATTGTCTAGTTCTCTAGTACATTGAAGATTTTCCAAAATAAGAATGATTCAGTCAGAAATCCAGTCGTGATGCTCCCAAATAAAATATTTCCTGTTTTAATCCAATTATGTATAATTATGTGTGATAGTGCTCTCCAAATGGTTTCCATAAGACTCCAAAGCTGATATTGACGTCTTGCCAACTCACCATCTATTTTAAGTCTACTTTATGTTAATTCTCCTTCATCTTTATGTCTAGTTTATTTTATGTCAAGTCATGTTTACTTTATGTCATATTGTTGATGAGTCATCTTTACTTTTTTAAAGTAATTTTAACTTTATTTCAAGTCTTTTGTAAGGTCATAATTTTAATCATGATTTCGTTCTATTAAGTCAATATTCTTTTACTTTTTTCATGTATAAATTGTAAGCTCTTTTTCCCAAAAGGATCAAGTTTAAGAAAAGTTCAAGAAAGTTTTAACTTTTATAAGTTTCTCCAATCCTATTTTTTCTTGTAAGAAATCCTTCTTTATAAAAAATATGTTTGGCTAAAAACTCTTTTCTCTTTTAGTAATTTCTTCCTCCTTCTTCCATAGTTAAAGTTTCAGCTTTATGAATTCTTCAATTTATTCTATAGTTTGTAGTGATACAAGTTAAGTATACTTTATAATTGCCATAGTATTGCGAATTCTCTACATAAAAAATTCTTATAAAACTGTTAAACAAATCATTGATCAACTCCCTCAACAAAAAAAAAGTTATTGTACCAAGATCATATTAAAATAAATTATTGTAGTGAAAAATATATCTTTATAAAATCAAGCCATCAATACGACGTTAAGTCAAGAAGACGTCAAAGTCTTGAACACCGACTATAATATTTTAGTTATATATTTGATTTATAAAATATTTATATTTGATATTATCTTGATAAAATAATCGATCCGTATGATATTAAAATAATATCAAATAATATTATCACAATTCTATCACCTCAAAAGTCCAAAACTGAAACTGTTAGTTACCATAGTTTTGGTATTAGTACTTGCCACTGTATAGACAAAGAAAAGAAAAAACATAAATATCATGCAATTAATGCCGCTTCCACGAGGATTTGACGTTATGTTGGGAATTTTTCCGTGCTCCCTACGTGTGCTTGTGAAATTAGTTCAGTCCAGTCCAGTACTAACTATAATTGCGGCCTAAATTTCAGAGATTCCTCCACTCCTGCGCGCCATGCCTATTCGTATGCACTAAAATTCACTAGTCTAACCTTGGAACAAAACAAGGAATCTATGCCTTTTATGTTTTCTCAATCATAGATCGATTAGGTTTTGAAGTTTTTGGAAACTCACTCTGCTTTTCCCCTTTTTTTTTTTTTTTTTAAGAAATGAAAACAATGCATCTAATCTTAGCATTAATAGAATTTCGAAATTTAAGAAAAAATTAAATTCGAAAAAGTGTACAGGCTGTTAAGCTTACTCATTGATGATTAGCTTAACTGACGAAGGTATGATTCTATTACATCTGTGTTATCCTTGGTTTAGATCATCCCATCTAGGCAGAATTGATATCTGATCATCTGATGGTAAGTCCTTTGCTTTGATGGAAAATTATCATCACATATACACATGCTTTTTTTTTTTTGAACTAAATAACATACATGTATTACTATTAATTATGTATTATGCAGTAGCATTGATATTTTATGATCGGCTCTGAGCCTGCCTGAGAAACTCGGGAACAAAATGAAATTAAAAACACACCCACATTGATCTTATGATGGAGAATATAGACATGGTTGGCTGGCTGGCTGGCAAGTGTAGCATGGTGATCAGGGCATCGACAAACATCATGCAATGACATTTCCCCGCTCATAGTCATTGCATATTGGACTGGTTCCCAATAGAGGGAGATAGGAAAGCAGCCAAAATCTGTCAGTACCGAAATATGGAATGACAATTTACGTGGGTTATTTTTGTTTGTTTATCTCTATCAGTTATATGCTCTCCGGGGTTGTTGAAATGGAGTTATCAAAATGGACCCCCCCCCCCCAAAATTTTTGTGGATTTCTCACCGTTTCTTCTTCCTTTTTTTTTTTTTTTTCATTTTATTTCCTAATCAGGTTGAAGGATATATAAGTACTAATAATATTCTTGATTAATCAAGTAGGACCGCATGTGTGTGTATGTATATATATAGAGGGTAGGTTAAGCAGAAAACTCCAAAACTTGTATAATTAGCTTTCCTTTTTTGTCATACCTCCTTTTGTAGAAAACTGCAGGTCTGTGTGAATGCTTATATTTATTTATTTATTTATTTTTAACGGTATTTGATCCACATAATAACAATAGTTTCATACTTTCTGCCGAAATTAAATAATTTAATTCTCTCAGTCTAAACCATAATCCACAGCTCCAATTCACCTTAGTTCCTACTTACACCTTACTCCTTCCTTGCTCCTTCCACAACTGGTACCAAGTTTTTAAATTAATTTTTTTTTTTACAATATGTTTTTAAAATTTATTTATAATGTAAAATCAGATCAAATACATACTCAAATTCATTTCACTATTAGAAACGTAAATAATGTTACTTAGGTTCATTTTGTTTGTTTTTTTCCAATATTTATTTGTTTTAATTACTTAATATACACTTTGGGTTTATAAGTGAAAATCTAAAAAATACATTTAAATAAAAACAGGACTATAAATAAAGTATAATAAAAAGTACATGGTTATAATATTTATGTTATCTAATTTTAGTAGAGTCATTATGTTTTTATTTTTTATTTTTTACATTTTACATTTTACATTTATTTAAAGTAAGTTTATAATGCTAGTAGTAGTAGTAGCCTTTAAAAATTAAAGGTATCTTTGGTCCGGTACTTTTATTTTGTTTAAAAAATAAAGAAACATGGGCTTAGGTAAGGCAAGTGGTCCAAGGCAAGGCCCATTTACCGTTAATTTAATTCGTATTATTTTCTTCCTTATTTCCAAAACCTGAATTAGCATTTATCTCCTCAATTTATTTCATCTCAATTTCAATTGAAGCTTCTAGACGTTACTTTCTTTCTTCATCTACAACTTCTGTCCCTCCCTCCCAAAAAAGAAGAAGAAAACCCAAAGAAATCTCTTTTCTTTTTCTTGATGCATCGCATAGATGGTGATTATATTTGACAATAAATCGTTTCGTTGTTTAACAAAGGCCGTTCTTTATCTAGCCTTTGATATTTACTCTTTGAATCCTTAAACAACCCTTAAATGTTTTCCACCTTTCCGTTATATCTCTCTTTTTCCTTAGATCCCTTCCACCTTTGCTCTGCTTAGCGGATATTGGATTCAAGTTGTACTTTTTTTTTTTTTTGGTAAGTATAATGTTAAATATTGTATTGATCTTTTACTGTCAAGTTTAGACATTGACTTTTTTATTACCTGATTTACCTCTCGATTAGTTTTGTTTCAATTCAAGCTCTTTCCTTTTCTGTTCTAATAGCTAAAATAATGCATAAAACTGAAGTGTCAGAGGAATGGAATTTGTGTTTAGCAAAATTTTAACCGTATTAAGCAATGCTTGATATTTTAATTCTTTAATTATGAAAATATTAGTAGCTTAAATCTTGAAAAAAAAAAAAGTCACTAACTAATATTCAATAAATCTTTTTTCATCTTATTCTTGCTTTGTCTGCGTTTTATTCCTTTCATGATATAAGTTTTCCTTTTCTTTTTTAATTGTGTCTTTTTCTTTAATCCATAAACAATGTTGTCTACTTCTTTTCATTATAGTATTCATGATAAAAATTCTTTATCTTGAGAATAATAACTGTTGGCTTTGGCAATTACCTGTCAAGTATTTATCTACATTATTCTAAATTATGACCGGATCTGTCTTGTAGCTACTAATTTTCAATTGGCTGACACTTTTGGGTTGTTCCTTATTAATTCTTTCAGTCTGTTTGGTGATCAGAAGAATTTCAGTATGTGTTTTTTTTTTTTTTTATTATTATTTCAATAGTCAGAGTAGTCACCTTTGCTTATTGATAATGTATGTGTACTTTCACGTGAACGCTCCTTTTTCAGCTTTGTTCTTCTTGTATTACTGTACTCTGTTTGGAAAGATGCAGAAAAGAAGAATTGGTGAAACTCTGATAATTACTAGTATATTTTTTGTGCTGCATGTTTTCCATTTCTTTTTAAAGGATAAAATAATTCTATTCAAAATCTAGTTTTTCTTGGCCATGTAAAGGTTTCCTTCGGTTGGCTGATTTATTTTTTTCTTTTTTCTGATGATTTGTTGTGTTTCTTGTAAACATGATCTGTTCCTTTATCTTTCCTGAGATGTTCAGTATGCCCAGGTGATTCAATTTGATTTGACTGGTTATTTGTTCTTGGTTAATGAATTTCCAGCTAACCAGAACATTTGTGGTGACCCAGAGCGATCAAAATCTGAATCCACTCCAACATCTACTGGAGAAACTACACCTAACACTAAAGACATGAATCGCTTAACTGTGAAAACTGAATATTCCTTTTCCAGCTTACTTGAGCTTTCTTCTAACAATGATGTTGAGGGCATTAAGCAATCCATAGAGCAGGATGCTTCTTCAATCGATAAGGTTGGACTTTGGTATAGTCGTGAAAAGGGCTCAAACCAAATAGTTGCAAAGCATAGAACTCCATTAATGGTTGCTGCTATTTATGGTAGTGTTGATGCTGTTAAGCTTATACTGACTCACTCAGCGGCTGATGTCAATCTATCGTGTGACATGGACAAAAGTACTGCCCTTCACTGTGCCACCTCTGGTGGATCTCTTCATGCAGCTGATGTTGTCAAGTTACTTTTATCAGCCGGTGCTGATCCAAATTGCACTGATGCCGTTGGCCACCAACCTGCCGATGTTGTTGTAGTACATCCCAAGCTCCAAAGCATAAGATCTGTTCTGGAAGAACTTCTTTCAGGACAAGTTTCTGATGACTCTTTTGGGGAGCTCAATTTATGGGTATCCATTGATAACTCTACGTCTAGCTCGCCAACTCTTTCTTCTTCACCTGAGAATGGATCACCACCCTGTCTTTCGAATCTAACTTCATCTCCAATGGATTCAAAATTAATTGATATACCCGTTAACACAATAGAGAAGAAGGATTGCTTAGTGGATCCATCTCTCCCCGATATCAAGAACAGCATTTATGCAACTGATGAGTTCCGCATGTTTTCATTCAAGATCCGTCCTTGCTCAAGAGCATACTCCCATGATTGGACAGAGTGTCCATTTGTCCATCCAGGAGAGAATGCACGCAGAAGGGACCCACGTAAGTACCATTACAGCTGTGTGCCTTGCCCTGAATTCAGAAAAGGGGCTTGTAGACGTGGGGATAAGTGTGAATATGCTCATGGAGTTTTTGAATGTTGGCTTCATCCAGCACAATACCGGACTCGGCTGTGCAAGGATGGCACAAGTTGCAATAGGCGGGTCTGCTTTTTTGCCCACACAGCAGGCGAACTCCGCCCCCTGTACGTCTCTACTGGCTCTTCACGCTCATCTGCATCTGCTGCCAATGTCATGGACATGGCTGCTGCTATGAGCCTTTTACCTGGTTCACCCTTGTCTGTATCTGCCTTGTCCTCTTCTCCTTTTAATAAGCCCATGTCTCCATCATCTAATGGGATTTCACACTCATCTGCAGCGTGGCCCCAGCCAAATGTTCCAACTCTTAATCTCCCTGGAAGCAACCTCCAATCAAGCCGCCTGAGATGCTCCCTTAATGCTCGAGATATCCCACCTGAGGACTTTGACTTGTTGCCAGATTTTGATGCCCAGCAACATATTCTAAATGACTTAACCTGTTTCTCTCAGTCCTGTAACAGTTCAGTGTCTATAAGTCGTTCTGTTCGGTCTAAAACGTTAACTCCTTCAAACCTTGAAGAGCTATTTTCTGCAGAAATTTCTTCATGTCCTCGATACACTGATCAGACAGTTGCTTCTGCTGTGTGCTCCCCAACCCATAAATCTTCTCTTCTTAATCAATTCCAACAGCAACAGAACATGTTCTCCCCAATCAATACAAGTGTCTTCTCACCCAAAAATGTTGAGCACCCTCTGTTGCAGGCTTCATTTGGTGTTGGGTCTCCTGGAAGAATGTCACCTAGAAGTACTGAGCCAATCTCCCCTATGGCTGCTCGCCTTTCAACATATGTTCAGCTTGAGAAACAACAACAGCAGCTACGCAGCCTTAGCTGTAGGGAACTTGGGTCCAATAATCCCATTGGATCTCCTGTGAATTCTTCTTGGTCCAAGTGGGGATCACCTAATGGACAGTTGGATTGGTCAGTCAGTGGATATGAAATGGGTCAATTGCGGAGATCATCATCATTTGAGCTTGGGAACAATGGTGAGGAGCCTGATTTGTCATGGGTCCAATCTCTTGTGAAGGAATCCCCACCTGAAATGATGCAAGAGAAGTTGGCGGTTCCTGTCCCTGGTGGTGCATCATCTGGTGAAGTTCTGAATAATTCTAATTCCCAGAATAATTCTGCAGAACATTCTGTTATAGGAGCTTGGCTTGAGCAGATGCAGCTCGATCAGCTTGTAGTCTAGAGAAACAAAAGTTTTATTTTTACCTCATCAAGATAGGTACATATTAAGCATGGACCCACAAACAGAGTTACCAAGGTACATATTTTTGTGGGTCTTATGCTAGTGAGAAAGATAGCACTGGGAAATGAAAGTGTGGTAAATGCAGAAAAAAGAAGTGTGGCCTAAAGAGTAGGTGGGAAATTTCTGGGAATTTTATTCATTTTTTATATCATTTATTGTTTAAAGAAGAATTCGGGCAAAAATGTAGGAAGCCTTTAGCTGGGCTAATATTAAGCAATCGAGCCTAGGTTCTGGTCTTTCTCTTCCATCATATCTGAATTAGGATTACTTTTTACCTCAGTTTTCATTTTAGAGGGTAGCTACATGTAAAGACTTTGTATCTTTTTGATGTCTCATATTACTTTATTTTGCATTGGTGAATTAGTGAAGAAAGAATTCTGAGGGAGAGCATAGGTGATTCTTTTTTATATGATGTAGAAGATCGTGCATTTTATTAGAAAATGCATGCATTTTGTAGGATCATATGAAGGATGAGAGTCCGCTATGCGTTTCCTTTGGATGATGTAAAGTAAAACCGAATTAAAGTTTCAATACCTTTATTTTTTTTTGTTCTATACACTTCAACTTTCTCATTCATTCATTTTGCTCCCTTTTCTCATACTCTCTTGATGGTTGATTCTGATTCGTGTAATTTATTCAAGTATGGGGGTCTGTGATGCGGTGGTTCCCCTCTTTAGGATGGGGATTGGTTGAGTGGATATTTTTGGATTCTTACAATCTTTCTTGAGAAGATCATGAAATGTGGAATTTGGGATGGAATTTGTAGGGTGCAAGGGATATTTTTCCTTGAAAAAGGAATGTGGATCCAACTTTCTAAAGATCTCTTTTAGGGGAGTGCATGGGATGATGTACCTCTGAATGATGCAAACCACCCACCCCACAAAAAGTAAAGTAGGTGGGTTGGTCTTTAGTGGAGTCAGAAAATAAATGGTTGTGTTTCTACTAATTTCTTCATTGAAAGAGATCTGTGGGGACATGTGGAAAACTCCTAGGGCATTGCCTTAAGAAGTCGGTTGGTTTGCTTAGTTTGCAAGTTTAATTAATGGTTTGGTTTAAAGTATCATCATCAAATGTACCGTAGATATATGGATAATCGAATTCGTAACAGAGGATGCTACCATAAACGAAAGATGCCTCTTTTAGGGATCAAATGTAGCGTACATGATTACTTGGTAATCAAGCTTCATTATTTTAAACATTGGGTCATGATAAGGTCCATAGAAATGGGTTATCTGCCTGCTTAGTCATTAGGTTTTAGAGTTACATGAATATATGATATACGGTATACCCTGCATTACAGATCTTTAGAGGCTTGCCTATGGTTCAGCTGACATTGTCGTTTCTGGTCGGATTAACCGCTTTTAGAAACTGGATTTATAAGGAGCCAAATTAGGATATCTTTGGGTTTGTTTTATCTTCACATGCACTCACGCGGATAAACACAGACATACCTATGAAAAAGAAAAAGATAAAGAAGTGAGAAACATCGTTTTTGTAAATAGAATCCAGGTCTTTAAGCTTATTAGGAGTAATAAATGAATGATGTGCAATTCGGACGGTCCGCTGGAGCAATAATTATGGTAGAAATATCTAATAAATGAATGATGGTGAACTTGTGGGCTGTAGTTGTACTATCTATGGACGAATGTGGAGTAGGGCTTGTTTTGCACTTTCACGTTCAGGTTTAGTTGCGTTGAACAACAGAAGAACAGAGCAGTGAGGAGTTCCATGGCAGTAGGATTATCAAAGGGAGTACTTGCTGTTTTTCGGAGTATTTAAAGTTGAGGTGCTTTGGTTTTCTAAGGCATCTCCGAAGTTTTTGTGTCTGATTTTGCGGAACTATCTTCTATATATTTGCTCTGTTTTTGGGTTTTAGGATGGCCGGTTGTGAATTTTTCAGACACCGATTAGCAGCGGCCGACGATGGTGAACGTCAGCCAGCCGGGAATCCAACGCCAAAATCTGAGTTTTGTGGTTAGGGAGCAAGTGTGAGTTTAGAGAGAGGAGTGGATGGAAAAATGAATGGAAGAAGAAAGAGAAAAGAGCTGACTTGAGATGAGAAAGCGATTTCAGTAGTTTATATGATTAAAAAAATTTGTCAAAGTTATTTTGTAAATTGTTTAATTTATAAATCCAACTCTTATACCCTTCTAAAAAGGGGGTAATTAAGAAAAAAAACATCTAATAATTTGTTAGAAAGGAACGAACCACCATCATGCAAACGACAAGGGAGCAATATAGTTGCATAAACCAGAAATATAAACAAAACAATAATGACTTCTTGGAATTCCAAATCCTATGGCATGGATCGATTTCTTAGGAAGCGCCAAGGTCCAGTTCCAGTCCCCATCCTGCAATATTATGTACAGCAGCACTTTGGATCAAATTCAAAGAGATACAAACAAATTAATATTATATATTACAAAAAAAGTTGTAATTACATATGCTTCAGAGTCATCGTTTGATGCATAAATTAAGGATGAAATGATAACATGATATGTGGAATAAGAACTAGGGTTTTACCTCCAAACACCAGCTAAGCATCGCAGAGCCATGTAAATGGTTAATGCAACCCAGATTCCTATAAAACCGTTGCTTTTGTAGAGAAGGAATAATGCTGCAATGCTCGCTCCAGCTACTAATACCTGAAGAAACAAGAAAAAATATATATATATATATATATTTATTTATTTGAAGAGAGCTCAGAAAGTACTGAAAGATTTTATATGTTATATATATATATATATATCCTCTGTTACCATGGAGTAAGCTGTGTATGCAAAGTCAGATGCTCCGAAGTTGACACCGTCAAAAACGAAAGCTATTGAGTTGATTGGCTGTGTAGCTGCTACAAACTGATGGGTGGAGAGAGACATATATATATATATATATTCAGTTGATTAAGAAAGATCATTTATAGAAAGTAATTACAACATCTATATATATAGTTAAATTAATATATGGAGCTTGTAGATACATCAACAATTAATTACCGGTACTCCTATACTGATAAGGTGCAGAACGCTAGCATCTTTCGAAAAGATTCCTGACCCAAAGTACAAACCAACTCCAACAACAATAGCAAGCCCCACACCAAGGACAAAACTCATCTGAAAAACTCAAACCTTTTAAGAATTAGAGCTCGCTCATCTGAAAATTTTAGGTTGCATTTGATTTTAATTAAACATGTCCACACTCCACAATGTGGATAGCTAGTTGATTCAATTACATGTATACAGGATGAATTGTGGCGCATTCCATAGAACTTGACCTCATATATCGTACCTGCAATACCCGAGATGCCGCCGCTGTCACCTTCCTGTAGTCCTTCTCAGCAAATGCACAAGCAAGAATTGCCTAAATGTGGGCCAGGAGGACAACATTACATATAGGTTAATCAGCCAATTAACGTTCCCATTCATCAACACAGATGTGATTACAATCAAACTTATAATAACAAGAACATGTCTAGGTTTTAGTTTGTATATTTTTCTCAACTTCATATCACGGTTTAATCTTTTCTACTTGCATATGCAATTTCATGTCAAGTGCCCATTTAAGGATGACTTTCACATTCTATGAAGTAATAATTGTGATCAAATAATTACAAGAACACTGTTCCATATTTACATTTTTTTTTTGGTTAAAAAAATGGTAATAGATTTTTACCTGTCCAGCAACAGCTAGACCATCAGCAAGAAGAGATGATGTCATCCAGACCTGTAAGCAAATCTGAAATGCGGCCATAGGCGTTGAACCAAGCCGAGCAGCCATTGATGCTGCCAATGTCACACAGAATGTGACTGCTATTACTCTTGCTAATAATAGAAAACCTGTAAGTATTGTTAGACCAGAGTCAAGGGCATTAACTAGTTATGTATTCTTATAGATGGGCAACTAGTTTAAATGAGACCAAAAATAAAGTTTTAACAGAAGTGAGAATTATATGGTTGAAGTTTAGACGCCATAACCAGCGTTTTAGAAAAAACTAAACTCCAAAGCTGTTGGATGCTCTTTATTTGTTCAACTATTGTAGTACTGATATAGTGGTAATAATTAAGCCCCTTACCATTTTTAAGAAATTTTCCAAATTGCAGGTCTTCCATATTTGGAGGTAAAAGATTAACTTGTTTCATTAACCTCCACAAGAGGATAACCGAAATCAAATACCTGCAACGATCATTAGCCATTAGAGACATAACTAAATGTATAGAATTTAAAAACAAGATTGTCAAATTAGAGCAAAACAATCTACTTACTGAGAAAGGACATGTGCTATGGCTGCACCACTGACTCCTAGTCGTAAGGCAAAGATAAATATTGGGTCCAAAATGATATTTGTTAGGTCTCCTGCAACTATTGTAATGGGAAAAAAAAACAGGTGTAAGGTGAAACGGTTTTAGTATATCTTAAGTAGCAGTAACAGTTACAATTACTACTACTAAAAAAATATTCCACGTTAAAACTCTGCGTACCAGTAGCATATAAAGGTGTTTTTGTATCCTTAAATCCCCGGAAAATCCCCTGCATGGCCAAAGAGAGAAGAACTGCAGGAGCGCCTAGTGATCTCAAAGTCAAGTACTTTAGTGCTGGCTTTAGCATAGGGGAATTCTGTTCAATAAAATTGGATTTACTTAGTTACCGTTTCAAGCATCATTTCGATATTCCTCTGTAACAGCTCGTTAATTCAAAATAGAAATTTAGTGTATATAAGGTGATAACTGACAAAAGATGAACCGAATAGATTTGAAAGTTAACAGTGTTTGTGATGCGCGCTGATACTTACATGTTTGACACCCATAACACGCAGGAGAGTTTTTGCTCCAAATACAAGGAATATAGCTTGCAGGAGACCAAGTATTGAACCAAGAATCAATGCTGTTGACGCTGAAGGGATATGTCTTTTCCCCTTTTTCACTTCAATATTTTCAGTTTTGCTAGCAATTTCAGAGGAGGACTTGCATGTACTTGTGTTTGAACCTAACAAAGAGATCGCCAATCAAATTGTCTTATTACTGGAGACTCAGGACAATATAACACGTTGCACGCTCCAAGATTACCTCAAAAAAAAGTTTTTTTAAATGGATCATCTATTCTAGCCCTTAACATATCAGAGAGAGAGAGAGAGAGAGAGAATTATATACCATCCTCTGGCTCTTTCGTATTGGTAATTCTAGCTGCACCCTTTTCCAAGTTCTCAGGCACTACATCTTCTGTCGTCAACTCTTTCATTTCATTGTTTTTGTGCCTACTCTTCTCCAGATCCTCACATTTTGCCGCTTCAGGGCTAATTTTTCCAAGAGTATCTTCTTCAGCAACAAAAGAAGTTGTTATGCTAACCAGCGGGAAAATGGTAATCCTTGATGCTTGATTGAATATAGCAATAGAAACTCCTACAGCAGCTAGCTCCACGGGTCCTACACATATAAGACGCAAAATTTGCTTCAAGAGAATGATCAACAGAAAAAATATAGGAAGATGAACGAAGTAGATAAAGCATAGACAGCAGGTTTGAACTTTGAACATATGCTGCAACAGTCCGTCTAGAAATGAGGCCCTTAGTTCTCATGCTGTCATCCTAATAACTGCAGGTACCCATGAATCTATAGAAAGAGCATAGGATATGAGAGCAGACCTATACGGCCAATGAATGCCGTGTCAATTAGAGAAGCGATGGGATCAGCAGCTAAGGCCAAGGCAGCGGGGAATGCGATCCTTAGTATCTCCAGGCCAAGTGAATCCATTTTGAAGACAAGCCTAAAGTAAATTAGGGACCAAAAATTAGCCAAATAACATGAAAGGTTTCTCCCTTGAGATTTCAACGAACATTATATGAAACACTAAAGAGAAGACAGCACCTAAACAATGAAATTACCATTGTGAAACATATTAATTTATAATCCATTAATACCAGATCTAAAGTACCTCGACATCTGTTACACAGCAATGCGAAAGCAGAAGGTTGATACTGTACCTTGCATCTTTGAAGAGGACAAAAACTGGTATTCCCCACAGGCTCCAGTTGCTCTCAGGTGGGTGTATAATACCATTCTCAGCCATGATACTCAGTGCCAATCAACCTCAAGTTTAAACTGCCAATACAAGACTAGTGATGCTTATGGTGCCACCGTGAAATTTCGACTTCTTATTATAAGCGAATTTAAGGCTCTTATTCTGCAGATTGCATGGTAATTGATATTAAAATTACGACTATTATTTAAAACTATTAAAACTTATGGTGATAACCAAAGCTGCAGGCAGCCTTGCACAGAGTAAGAGGTAGTGAATCAAATGTCAGTGCTGAGAAATATATCCATGAGTCTCAGCTCAAGAGATTTCCTATCACTACCAAAATGAAATAGATCGATGGTTACAGATATCGAAAGGGAAGCACGCCTATAGGCTAAGTTAAATAAGCGAATAATCTGTGACCGCACTTGCCTGCGAAACACACAATACGTACCATGAGCCGAATTCATAAACATTGCCACATCAGCTTTTACGATATTGACCATATCTTCTTCCCCCACATACATGCTCCCCCAACCAAATCACTCATTAATTTTCTTACTGAATTCAAGGATCTAAAAGTACTTCAATTTTGGCAGTTTGATCTTCATATACTTCAATTTCTAAACCTTGGATAATTGATATTGAAATTGGCGTTCAGAGTTTTAAGTTTGTAGTATTAAAATATTAAGAATGGTTTTCTTTTTTAAAAAAATTGTTTAAAAAGTCACCTGGACATTTATTACGAAGGCACATTGACGATGTCAATGTACGTAATAAAACAAAAACATTAGAAGAAACATGTGTCGTATCCAATGCAACAGTATATGAACGAAACCTCCCTCGGTTGTTCACGTCCTTGATAACATTATAACCAGAGTCTACAATTCACCTTTCGTCCATTCTCCTATTTTCTCCACTAGTTTGTCAGTCAAATCGCTTTTCAACGGCGACTATCTGTCGTTGCCTTGGTGCATTTTTCCACAGACAAAAGATTCTTTTCCTTTTGTTCCTCAGATAACACTGGGAGACCAACTAAAATATGCATTTCGGAAACATGCAATCCAGGATATTCTTTTCAAGCATATATATAAAAATAAAGGCCGAGTTTATATATATTACATATATGTATGAGAATTTCACATGCAACCGCACCCATGCGTGGACACGTGTATAAACGTAATTAAAAACCTTGAATGACACCGACCAAAAGAATTGAGGAAGGCCACATCAACGAACATCAGTGTCTAACAAGGACACAAGTTTGACGGACGTACCCCTTTACCGAAGAAAAAAGTTGAATAAATTAACAAAACAAGTACTAGTACTAGTTTTGAATAAACCTGTTCTGTATATCTCTAGCCTAGATAATGCCAAATGTCTACCTATATATATATATATATAACGAGGAAAAAACTGATTATGTATATGCAGACAAATATAGGTTCCGAGTAATTTCAACAAAGTTTCGCTGTTTTAAGACTCATATACTATGTCTTTGTTTTTTGTTCTTTTTACTATAATTAAGGAGCCTAACTTTCTTTGCCTCTAATTTAAGTATATACATTAATTAATTGTTTCAAACCCAGTGATTGATTATGATTTCTTGTTTGAACAAATTTAAGTACATATATATATATATATAAGCTAATTTTATTTTTTTTGAAACATATATATAAGGGAATTTAAATTGATGAAAAATGTTTTTCCTCCAAATGTGTGTGTAGATGTAGTCTGTTCTTCCCCAAGTTTAGGTGTTTCACATTTTGACAACAACAAATCAAAGAAAAGAGTGAAGGGGTTGCTAAGTAGGCCTTAGTAATTAAGTTGAATCCTCAAAACTTTGAGATTTTATATATTCATATCTCATTATATGTCTGGGTTTGATTATTTAATTATGTTCTAATTTTTTAGTTAATTATTCAATGATGTATTATATATTAATTTTAATAGTTGATTATAATTATGAACTCTTTTGTATTTGTAATTTAAAAAAAAAAAGAATTGTCAAAAATATAAAAAGATAAAAATTAAGTGGGCATCAGGCCCAATTCATAAACCAAAGAAAAAGGCCGAGCGGATAGACGGGAAAGATGAAAGTTAGGGCCTAATGCTATTGTAAAGCCCAAATAAAAGAACCAATAATAAATCAGTTTATTTTTTTAAAAAAAAAATTATCAAAAATAGTTTTCTAATTAATCTGTTGTTTTTCTTTCAGTATATTTCGATTTTATTCGTTTTAGCAAAAGCAAAAAAGTTTATGACAATCATTGCAAAATTTAAATGATAGTGAACGGAAGTTTTAACCTAACATGAAAATGGAGGTTAAAAAAAATATGAACATCAATGAAGATTTACTTGACGATTAAAGAATGTTAAAACTATTGAGGAATGACTAGATAAGAAAAGAAAACACGAGATTTTATTTTATTTTTGGATAATTGAAATGAATTAACAAACGTCAGAATAAGATATATATATATGGAAGGGAAAAATTAATGGGGGCCGGAAAAAGAAGAATTAATTAGTTAAGGAATAATGAAAGATAAGAAAAAAGAATACGGGTATATACGATCTTCTTAACCAGACCATGCATTTTATTGCCACACAAAAGAAGAAGATGCTGTGTGTGTGTTTGTGTGTGTCTATATATATATATATATATATAACCATGATTGTTTTTAACAAGTTATCTTTCTTTTCTCAAGGTCTTTAGTATTCAACTCCCTTTAATCCTTTTAATTTGAACTACATTATCGGCAAACAAAATTTTCTCATGGAACCTCTTTCTCACACAACACAAACAATTAATATGTACGCATGTAATGTTATGAGAGTGTATCATCAGAATCTTAATCCATTTGGTTTTTGGTACCGTAGATCAACGTATGCGACACATGCATGTACCAACTAAAGCACACATATGCAATTAAGCGTTTGACAGAAGAAATTAAGAGCAGACCGATGGTTGGCCTTTATAATAATATTCCAAGCAATGAGCAAAACAAAGCGAAACGATTCTATAAAATAAATAAATTAAATGATTAAAAAAAATAGAGAATGAGATCTATATATATTTCGAAACTATGAAGTAAAAGCTGCAGTGAAGGAATATGGAGCTTGTGGTAAGTTGAAACGAGTCGCTGACCTTGCGTTTATGCTCTTTTGTCGCAGTCAACAGTGCGAAGTTCTTTTCACCAACTTTGCTTGCCTTCGTTTGCTTTGCCAAACCTACGCCTCGCTTTGCGTTTATATACCCTTAATTTCAAGACGTTCGTACGTGTCCCCAACACACCACTTAATAATTAGAGAGAGAGAAGAGAGAGAGAGAGAGCAAGCATGCATCAATCTTCTGACTTTTGTTACATCCAGCAGGAAGATAATGGCAATTTAGAAGCAATTCAAAAGGGTTAGTTAACTCACCTGTGTTTTACGGATGATTTGCATATCTTTACCAAAGGTAATTTGGATTATAATATACGAGTACTGCAAAATGTTCTGAAAGTTTTTTATACATATTTTTGGTATGCAACTGAACTATATATGCTAAGAGTGAATTATTAATTTCTTTTAACATTAGTAAAAAAATGTTTACAGAAAATTCACCAGGCTTCTGGTTAATTTCAAGCTCGGTTCCTTACATGTTAAGTACTTTGGGAGTCCCTCTTGTTATAAAAAATTAAGCCAAGTAACAGGGATTGTGTTCCATTGGCTCTAAACGTTTAAAAATATTGTCCTACAAATTTAAGTGCTTTTAGTTGGTAGCAATATTTAACCTTTTGCAAATGTGGGCTACGTAGGAAACCCACTACCACCATTTCATCTGACCTAATTTTTCCGGTGTTGCAATTAAGTATATATAGATAAAACAGATCAGTTTTGGTTCTCTCATAATTAGTGTAAGAGAACGCCATCACCGCACTGCTGGCAGTAATAAAATATCCAAACTTGGCTAATTATATATTTTTTATATAGAGTAACAATACTGATAGCTGCGCCTTTGTTTCTTTAAGTTATAAATTGTTTTGTTGAGAAGCACATAGTTTTAATTTGTTGGCTTATTTTTAATTTTTGAAAAAAAAAAGGTTATATATGTTAGAAAATATAAATAAGAGAAGAGAAATAATATAAAAAATTTTAGTTTTGAGGCATAAAATTTTTTTTTTAAAGGTAATTATGCTTTTAGGATATAACAAAGTTTCAAACTTTTCAATTAAAAATAGTGAAAATAATTATACTGAAATATTTATTTATAATAAATTAACAGACATAAATTTTTATTCAAATAATTATGACATTATATAATCATAACTTTTTATAAATAATAATCTATCTATATTTAAATGGTTATGAGCACTTGACCTATGATAATTATTTTTGTTGAAACATAATTATTTAAAATATAAATAAATTAATATAAAAATTAACTTTACTCATCAATAATTAAACATTTCTATCCAATGTGAGATATACCGCATTATAAACTATCAATAATACAATCATCCTAAAAATTAAAAAAAAAAAGTGTCTCTATGTATGTAATTAATTATATTACAGGTATACAAGCGCTGTTGATTAACAAATGAAGCAGCAGACCAATTAATATATATATATATACACACACAAATGAACACTTTTTTCCCGAAATAGTAATATGAAATATATGAATGATAAGAGCACGCATGTTTTGCAAAATGTTCACGTTTAACAAACCAAATTGAAGCTTAATTCTTTTCAGAAAAATAAAAAAAAAAAAACAAAAAGTTTATTATTATATAAGGAATTAGATATCATAGATCCTCACTGCTTAATTTCCAAATTAATGAATATATACATTTATATATATACTCAGTTTAATTATTAATAGAAATATCATGCTCTAAATATACATTAATGTAGCTAAGGGAAGCCAAAAGGGGTATTAACCCATCAACCAAATCCAATTCAAGGGATTTATTTATTTTAGACCATCTTGAATATTCAGCGATATATCCGTACATCTCATGTGTCAAGTGGGATTTTATACATATATATAAATCAACTTTTGGTACGATTTGCTCTTGCCACCGAATTTAATTTATGTCAAATTGCGTGCGTAGGTATATTTAACTCATTCCTTCATATATTTTCAATTTATATGCTCACTAATATATAACTATATCCGTAATTTGTTGGAGTGATTGTATGAATGCAAAAGCTACCCGTTCGATCGGTATTGATGCGTGTATATTAGGTAATTATTTTCTTAATACTACTAATTAATTAATTAATGCGATCGACCGGATCAGGATCTTGGTTGTAACACCGAGGAATCCTTTCTCTCCCCTGCCACTCCCAGTTGACTCACTCCTCACCTGCCATCTGTCAATACATTTGCATGCATTGTTTGAAACAAACATGCTTACAAAAGAGTTTTCTCTTGAAATGCATTTGAGAATTTGGCTTCCATCGAGGTTACTTTTTCCGATCCCTTATATTAATAGCAAAAGATCCATAATATCTATCTTGGTTTGCAATGAGCCAGTTCGATTGGGCTTAAAGCTTGGTTGTAGTAATTTACCTATCTAATATACATATTCAAGATAAATGTAAACTTTGGGGTTTTAGGCCTTCGGCCGGGTCCCTATAGTTAGATGCATTAATGATGTAATAGTACCCCTTCCACATAGGCCTTTGGGGTCGACAGCCCACTATCTTCCGAGCTCTTTGCTCTTTGGGAAGAAAAGGGAGAGAATCATTAATTAATGAACAATAATATTAGAGATGCTGTAGCGTATATACATTTGGAAAGAAAGAAAGAATGAATGAATATTGGCTTGCTTTTGCTTAAGGGATGATGAATTGTTTGTTATACAAGCTGTGCTGGGTTGCCATTTGCCAATGCCAGCCACATAGAAGAGAAGAGTCATGATGGAAGAACATTGATGAATAAAATAATCATCTAATCTAGTGGGAGCTGCTTTTGCTTTTGCTTTTGCTTTCATTTTATACATACATATATATATATATATATTCCAACACATAATGACAATCATCCACACCTTACCTATAACCTATCATATTATATATAATATAATCCAACAAAAATGTATAAATATAGCTTAAGCACGAGTCCAAAGGAAAGGAAGTTTTTTATATCATTAATAATATATATATATATATATTAATAATGCCATTAGTGACCATTTTCTGATTCAATTTCAGGCAAAACCATTAAAAGTTTCCCCTTTCTTTCTCAAGAAATAACCTTTTTACATAATGAATTCATTAGTAGTTTTCCTATATATTCCTTTTAACCAAAAAAAAAAAAGCATAAATCTACTGTAAATCATATCCAAAGATCACTCTAACCATCTAATCAAAAATAAATAGAAAAAGCAAAGAAAAGAAACGCAACAAATTGATAGCTTCAGCTTATTCTTGATAGTTATGAATAGAGTTTTGAACAGGTAAAATTACTCAGAGATAATTAACGAGCTCCTAATTTTGTGAAATCTGAGTAATTCTTTCATTCTCCCCTTCCTCAATTCCGAATGAAGAGCCCAATGGGCTTGAACAATGAATTTACACGTTCACCAATACATACGCTCAACACAAAGGCTGCTAAGCTTGAGCTTTTTGTATAATATCGGCCGACTAATTAATATTTAGTTAATTTGTAAACAGCGAGTCCATCAGCATGCAATTCCTATATATATATACATATAACTGATATATATTTATATATCTAAAGCCAATCTATAACATCATATATAATAATCTCCTTTCCCTTTTAATTTGATAGAATACTCATTTTATGCCCATGCAATGCAAGTAGATATTAGCAGGAACTTCTCCAAAATAAAGCACATCTTTGTTGAAATGGACGAGTTAACTGTCAACTCTATGAAAGATAGTTTCAGAGTGGATACAGCAGAGCAGCAGCAGCAAGAAGAGGCCTAGCTAGGTCCAATTAAGTCGACCAACAACACAATTTCTTCTTTTTGCATTGGTTCATTCCTTCAAATTCAATCTACAGTTTAAAGGAGGCTTGAAAATTTTATTTTGCTATATCTAGTAATTTCAAGTATATTTATCAGTAGCAAATTCAGTGGAAATAGTGCACTTAATTTGTCAAGTCAAGCCCTAAACATGGAATCTATGTTCTTATCCCAATAATGCAACATCAACAACAAACTTTAAGCAGATCGTGTATATATATATATATATATATATATTTATATTTATACACACACACGTCATTGTTCAGGAAATTGATCATTTATTTTTACATACTTGGAAAAGAGAGAGCATTTCTATTTTGCTCATTATTAACGTAAATTCATCCTTCTTAGCTGCTAATAACAACCTCCACCTTCAAATTATTCCCCCTAATTTTTACATGAAATTAAACTACAATCTTTATTTTTGACTCTCTCACTTTCTGTATCACTATATATTCACATTTATCTTATAATGGAACGATCAAGTCACAAAGTGCCTCGTGCTGAAACTCAAATATTACGTACGTACAACAAATCTTCGGCTCTGCTAATCTTCACCTATTTATGTTTATTCCCAGACCGTCAAAATTATGGAAGATCCGGTATATATATGAATTTTCAAGTTCAAAAGAAACCAAAAAAGAAAAGGTAATACGAAGAAACAAGAAAGATAAAGAAGAAAAAAATGAAGATTCTGAGATGGCAAGGAGAAATGGCAGTAAACGAGAGGCTTCAAGTATGATTTTGTTGACGCTGAAAATGAATATCTGCCCAAAATTTCCTATATATGTGGCTTTGGGTAGATTTGAAAGATAGAGGCAGAGGCTATACGTGTAAGCAGTTATTCAACTTGGAAATCAAGTAAAGGAAAGGAAGGTATATTATCCATCAAACGCTCTAAATCCCATTCTCCCATTCTTAAGTTTTCTCCTTGCAAATGATGATTTTCTAACCCAAACATGTCCGCTACTTTAAAGCTCTGATCAGTGTTGTTGAAGCAAGTATTATTGTAGTGGTTGTTATTGCTTTTCATATCAATGCTGTTATGGGCAGCATTACTTTCAAGTGGAGAAAGAGAAAAGTCCCCTTCCAACCCTATTTTTCCAGGCTCTAAAATCCCATAATAATCCCCATAAAATGTGTCTCCCATACCACCTTGTGTTAAGCATGCGGGCGCATCCGTCATATTATAACGGTTATTGAGCAGATGAAAAGGATCGAATTGGTTGCCTGCTGTAACCATTGATGATGAAGATGAGTTCATGCATAAGGTCATGATATCGTGTTCATACACAGGAAAAATCCCTCCTACAACATCTCTGGGCTCCGATGAATCACTGTTGTTGGGTGATGAGGATGTGGAGGTGTTATTTTTCAATCTTTTCTTTAGGGTGGAGTTCCAGAAATTCTTTATTTCATTATCCGTCCTTCCTGGAAGACGAGCCGCTATTTGGGACCACCTGAAACATTTAAAACCAATGAAAAATAATTAAGACATGTATCTATAATCGATAGAGTATAAAATTTCAGCAGAGATTTTAGAAGCTGTTGCATTATAGCATATATTTCCTTTTGCGATGCATGCTTAGCACGGATGCTTAAAGCTCTAAAAGTACTGAAATAAGTATGCATATAATTGTGAGCAAAAGACAGAAGTGCTGAAGGAAAAAGAGGGGAATTCTGAGATGAAGGATGAGAAGCACTTCTCTGTTATTTTTAGAGCATTTCAAATTAAACACGATTGTCTCATATCTGAAAATGAAACACCAGAAAATATGAGTGGGTTGCTTGGTGGATAATGGATGGTGATTGTCAAATGCAAAGCAGCAGAAGTGGATGCCTTTGGTCTCAAGTTCAAGATTTATATAGTAAGGATGCACTGTATAAAACTAAAAAAGATTTATATATATTTTTCACTCTTGATTCTAATACATTCAAACGATGATAGAGACAAATAAAATTAAAAAAAATGATTTAATTTCATTTTTAGATTTATTGAAATTAATAATTAAAAAATATATAAAATTTTTTAATTTTATATTATGTAAATTAATTTGTGTGTGTATATATATATATATATAATCAAATTATTATATCTATAATAATGGGAGGAAAACCGCCAGAAGCATTTTTTCCAGCCGAGAATTGGAAACTTCAAAAAACAATTATGAAGTAAAATCAAACGGTAAATAGGGCAAATTTTTGACTGGGTTCAAATCCAGCCTGAAATTAAGAAGTGATATACTGATACATACATACACACACACACACACACATATATATATATATATATATAATATAAGATTGAGCAGCCGTTAACTAGCTAGCTTAGAATAGCAAGACCAAAAAAAAAGGCTCTATACAATTGGAATATTGTTAAGTCAATGTATACATATTTACAAGCGGATCTAGATAATGAACCAAACCAAGAACTTCTGAGTAATGCACATTCCACGTTGTTAAGAGTTTTTAAGCTGAGAAACGATCGATCCACAGTGTTTCACAATGTAGTATATGACTATATGATATTGCATTTCCAACATATGCTATGTATGAAAAAGAAAAAGAAAATCACATTTTATCATTCAACTATGTCATGATATGATCTCTCTATTTGACTTCAAATAACCGCACTAGGTAGATGACCCCAGTCAAGGTAGAAATTTTGATAGTACATTCAGAGTTTTGCATTCCTTAATTTATATGATATATCCTAGAGGCATATAAAAAGCAGTACCAGAACTATATATATATATATATATATATATATATGTATATGTATATGTATGTAGTTTCATTTTTAACCTTCATTGACCTTTAGAAGAGAAATGGTAATAGAAATAGAACCTGTTGCCTAGGATGGAATGCAAATGTATGATAAGCCCTTCCTCTTGGGGAGAGAAGGCGCCACGCTTAAGATCAGGTCTCAAGTAATTTATCCAACGAAGACGACAACTCTTGCCACACCTCTGCAGACCTGCATTCCTAGCAATGTTGCTCCAACACCCTTGTCCACTGGTTAACATGTACTTCATGAGTTTCTCATCCTCTTCTGGTGACCACAATCCCTTCCTCAGTTTGATTTTGTTATTGTTAACTCTGACTTTTCCCATATTTGGATCAGGTTTCCTCATTGCTGCTGGGTCTCGATCTGATCTAGTGGAGCCTTTGTCTTTTTAACTTGTTTGATGGAGATCAGAGAAAGCTATATAGTTAAATGATGGTTGCATCAGGGAGAGAGAGAGAGAGAGAGAGAGAGAGAGAGAGAAGGCTTCATGAGGTGGTAATGGTGATGACGATAGTGATGGTTGTGGGGTTTGCTTTAAAATATGAATATTTGTGAGAAATGCATTGTGAGAGAGTGTCTGTTGGTTGATGGGTAGAGTGGAAAACGGATTGGAGGGGGACCTCCCCCTCCCTCGGCCCTTAGGCCTCAGGCCTCACATCGGATGAGAGAAAGGATGGTTTGGTCGTCTTGTCTTTGACTCTATCTTGTCTTTTTCGATGCATTTTTCTTCACTCACACGGTAATCATCATATGTGTACGAGACACAAGCCAGTTTGCTTCCACTTCACATAATGCTCTTTCTCTCTTAACCCACACGTGTATTTGAAGATAAGCCTATGCCCTAGAAGAGAGAGAGAGAGAGAGACAGAGAGAGAAAGAGCCTAAAGAGATCAGAGAACAAAGACAAAACTACTTTTCCTACACCTCCCCTTTAATATAGAATAATGTAACACCTTTCAGGCTCTGGTCTTCCACACACACACACACACACACGCATTAATGCTTTTTTTTTTCAGATGAGAAACGTGAATAATATTTATAAGCTGCGCATGCGTCGGGATGGTTGATTTGCAATGTGAATTAATTAAGAGGCTCTCAAAAATAAAGGAATGAAAAAGAAACATGAACCTACTGGAGTATTTAACTGCTGTTTACACCCCAGTTGCCGCCAGTACCCTTATTTTTGTCTAAAAGCATTCTTTTCCTTAAAGGCATCATCCTGTTAAGGATAAATATTCATTGCTAAAATTAATATTTTACATGTAACAATATCGAATAGAATATGTAACATTCGCAAGTGAAATGATTACCAGGCCCTATCAATTCATCAAACTTGAAAGATTATTTGATAAATCAGCGTTGAATACATACCTAGTGCATATATATATATATGTATCTATATATATATATATCAAATTGTTGGAAACTGAAGGCACTTCATATGGAAATTGATGAGTAGGTAGTTGGCATCCATAAGTAAATTAGTACTAAAATCATTTTCAGTTGCAGTAAATAAAAATTAAGTTATAACTATTAATTTCTTAAGTCGTATCAGCATTTGCAATTTATTGAATCGTACGCACTGAGAGTTGTTTCTTCAGCTTAATTAATTAGACCCTTGCTTGTTATTCATTCCAAAAAAGGTTTTTGTTTTTTACTTCGAAAAATGTTGCAGAAATCTATCATCATTCACAGCAAACTAAATATGACATTGTGAAACCCCCATTTAATTTGTGCTTTAGCATCTCTACGCAATTTCTTAATTATACCATTTTTGGAGAACAAAATTCTTTTGCAAATGTTATCCAGCTGAATAGATCCAGATGTTCTAATTTCTCTATATAGAGATGATGTTAATACTTGAATATTACTTTATCAATCAGCTGGTTTCACTTGATCAAACCTAAAATCAACAACAATATACATATGGCCCATCCCTCCATGGTATCTTAATTATATATATATATATATATATTACAGGGTTAATATATATACCCCACAAACTTTCATTGTCTTATTTTGTTGTCAGGGTTATCTTTCTCTCTGATTCCATTTCCTCTCATACCTAATTCCTCTCCTTGCATGCCAAGAAGTTGCCAACCTAAATCCACCTTATATGAGAGTCTTAGTCAAATGCTTCAAGTATAAAAGAGCAATATATATATATATATATATTCGTTTAATGTTGTATGTATTGACAGCGATTGCCATAATTTCTGGCAAAAAGTGAGTGGAAAACTCTCAAGCTACTCAAAATGTTCAAAAGTATTCTCTTTATCAACAGCTAGCTGTCCAGGAAAACTCTATTTCATGCTTGGAAGGCTGTCCCAATCAACAAACTACTTGGTTAAAAGACAAGAAAAAACACCTAGCCAGGTTTGTTGTTACACACATTGTACTAGATCTACATATATTGATGTCTAAATCAATATAATTAATCCGTCTATTAACGTTGTTACGTACGCACAAGTGAGAAACGGTACCTAGGGCTGGCTATGAGAGGAAAGCATAACCTGAAAATTAAGTGAACAAACCATATATGGAAAAAGGAAATTAAGAAGTTAGTACATTTATAAACTTTTTGTACATAAAAGTATCGGACAGAATTATTCGGTCTCTCGGCTTTCTTTGGTTTAGATTTAGTGGGGCATGAACGGCCAAAAGAACATTCCTCTTCTGCTTCATCTCATCGAACTTACTATTTAATCCATTTTCAAGAACCAAACCATCTTAAGCTCCCTAGCTAAACTAGAACCCCCTCCACCTCCACCTCCAGCCCCCCCCCCCCCCCGGTTGGTCACGGACTCATTCATCCCCTGTCTCAAGCCTTGTACGGAATTGCCTCGTTAACGTGTCCCTACTGCTCTGTAAAATGGCCCTGGTTATATATTTCTCTTTTATCTCAATCTTATTTGCTTCTACATACTTCTTAGCTAGCTAGCTAGCTAGCTCGGGATATCATCTCCTCCAGGGCCACTAAAATCTGAATTAAGCTTCAAAACCAAAGAACTTGCATCTGTATACCGTATTGCGCCTTAAATTTGATTCTTTCGAATAAGCCCGTTCGTTATATGGGCCTCAGTCTTCATCATCATATGGTTCATGAAATTGCTTGGGGAACTGCAGCTTGAAGGCTTTAATTGGCTGTGTAATAAAGCTATACCAATTTTGGAGGGTTGATTCGAAGTGCTTTATTTCTTCTCAATAAATGCATACATAGATACATGTATGTATTTATTGAGAGGGAAAAAAATAATAAAAGATAACAGGTCTACAGAACCAGGCATCATCGTCAATGGAGTGTTAAACCCATTTGGGAGCGTTGACGTGCTCATAAACGCAGTCCTCAACAAATCTGGAGTCTATTATCTTCCAATCGATTTTTGCTGGTTCCATAGAGAGAGAGGGAGAGAGAGAAAATGAGAAAGGCATAAGACAGAGAGGTAGATCTAAGTTTTGTCCATGTTGGTGGGCAGAGACGATGAGGGTGTGGCTTTTCTTTTTCTTCTGTTTTCATTTTAGTAACATAATTTGGCCTTTGAGGATTTTATTGTATTTGTAATTTTGTTTTGGGCAAATAGTACCACTACTGCTGCTACTGGACCTGTTAGTTGGTCTCAGAAATAGTTGGCCTTTTTTTTTTTATCACGTGGTATTTGCATTCCTTTCTTGGATCTAAATCACAATGTCAAACTGGGAACTGCGGTTGCCCAAAAAAACAGAACAACCGCCTGCCTTCCTCATCTTCTTCCTTCTTTTTTCTATTTGCCTCCTCTTTTTTCTTTTACTGTGAGAAAAACTCATATTAAAATACAAGCTGATTTCATCACTTTCTCTTCCTTATAGCCAAATCTCAAAACTCTTACTTAGAATTCTCATCTTACCTTTTTTTTTTTTTTCTATAACTTTCATCTTCGTTATTTGTCCCCAACAAACATGGCCCATGACCGCCGGACTGCTGGCTCATCTACCTCATGTATAAAAGAAAATTTCTTTCATCCTTTTTTTTCCTTTCAAGAATCGTAATAAATACTTAAAAAGTTATACGGCGTGGAGTATTTCCAATAATGTATGGAGCATTGACTTAATAAAAGTAGTAATATTTTTGTACATTATTTTTTCTACAAACTCATGAAAGAACTACCTACCACCACACCACACAGCGACTAATAAATTCTCATCCATTCAGTCTCGGACATTAGCAAGAGTTACAGGCGACTCCATTTCTCCGTATACCCACTTCGGCCAAGCTAACAAACGGCAACTGGCAAGAAAAATAAATAAATAAAAGGGGTAACTTGTCAAAAAATAGATTCTATGCTTCCTTTTTTTTTTTTTTGGGGGGGGGGGGTGTGGATGGGGTTTATGTAGGCAATTCAGGCGTGCTACACCTCAACAGAAAGAAGAAAGTAGTTTTAAAAAATGTTTTCCCAACTGAGGAGGAACGGGAATAACTGAATTCCGAGCTACCTTATCGTTTATGATTTAAAGGTAAAAGAAAAAGAGAAGCATCGCTATATATTTCCAAGAAGAGTCACCCAGCCAGAGAGCTGTTATCGGACTACATTGACTTGGTACCATGTTCTTCACGTCAGAAAAATTGAGCGCAGAATCAAAGAATTAATGTGAAAGGAAATGTTGGCAGACCTTCAACCGGTGGACAAACACATGAAATGAAACTAATTGCAGCTTCGCTTGCTAGTTTTACACATCGTACGGCATATCATTGTATTGTTTTGTTTTTCTTTTTTTTTTTTTAACTCATTTGTAACGAACGCTTACACCTGTTACAGGCACGCATACAGCCATGTCCCATGTCCATGACTATTTCTATTAGAATGGTTCTAGACACATCATCTTTTTTTTTTTAATTTTCTTTATATAAAATTAATTAACTACCTTTCTCATTTCAATTTTAAAATTTTCAAATATACATTTTCGATATAACTTACTGAATATGCATTTTCATTTAATTATATAACTCACCTCCGAAAATACATATCCGATAAATTACATAACTTATTGAAAATATATATCCCAGAGCTTTAAATTAATTACATTTAAATTTGAGAAAAAAATCAGTTGAAAAAGAATATCTTACAAATTTTTAAGCATCCAAATATGCAAATCCAAATTCGAAAACCATTAAAAACTCCCGGATACACAGTCAAAAACTTTTTAAGAGTTTCTGAATTTACAAATCAGAAATCTTTTAAAAATTTAAGGATTTGCAAATCTAGACATTTAAAAGTGCAAAGGGTCTTAAGAAATAAATTAAGTAATTTCATTTAAAAATGATTTTGAAAAAAAAAAAAAGTGAAAGTAAAAAATCGAGATGTGAATGTAATCTTTCTTTCTATTAAGATAGAAGCTGGACCCCATAATCCATATTCTGTGGGTCAAGACACCGAGCAACTAAACAAGAATATCAGGCATAACTCATCAGATATCATATGATTCAATTCAGTAGGCCAAAAAAAAAAAAAAAAAAACTCAGCAAGCATAAATCTTTTTTTGTGTGCTTCCAGCCCACCTTTATCACACCATCTTAACAGATGATACCAATTTCAAACATCATAACTGAGGTGATACCAACTTGAAACAGAACAATTAGAACTTCAAATATAATATCTCCGAGTCATAAAACCAAAAAATCCGAGATAGGGGCAGTGACATTAGCTGCCAATCTTCTTATCAGGTTTTTAATCAAAACTTCCTTTCGGAAAATAATAATCGTTTGGAGAGTAACTCCCCCTATATCTGAATTATTTAATGAAATTTTGCGAAAATAAATTTCTCGGGAGTCAAGCTTTTCATCACCATCTAAACCTAAACAAAACAAAAAGGGAGACGTACCAAGATTAAGCACCACCAGATCCATACTTCTTTCCAAATACAATAAGCTGCAACTTGTCATA